AATCTGTCAAGTTGGCATGTGATGATCCTGAAGTTAGGAAGACTACATGTGTCGTAGCATGTGAGGCGGTCACAAGTAATGATCCCCCTGTGCAATGCAACCCAGATGAAGTTTCAAGTGATCCACTTTGCGAAATAATGCAACATTACTCGTCATAGTATAGAATGAAAAGGGCTTTGGCTTGGTGGTTGCGATTTGTCAAATTTCTTGGAGGTTGCAAGTCTACAGGAAGCCTATCGGCACAAAAAGTCCTTCATGCTGAAGTAATTTTAGTTCATAAAAGCCAGTCCATGATGTTCAATTCGGAATTGGAACGAGTACAACGGGGTAAAGCCGTTAGAGTGACCAGCCCCCTGCGAATGCTAAATCCATTTGTGGATGATTGTGGATTATTTAGGGTGGGCGGTAGATTGAAAGAAAGCGATATTCATGGTAAACACCCTTGTATAATCTCAGGTAGTCACGTAATTGCTACGGCCATTGTCAAAGACATTCATAGAGTTGCCCATGTATGTGTCGAATGGGTTTTAGCTATCGTCAGAAAACACTTCTGTTTTTTTAGTGAAAGCTAGGCCTCTGATCAAGAAAGTATTTAGGGCATGTGTTACGTGTAAACGACTGTACTCCAAACCTTGTACCCAAATTATGGCAGACTTACCAAAAGAGCGTGTAGAGGCTAACAAGCCACCCTTCTCGTATGTAGGCATTGATATTTTCGGACCATTTCATGTAAAATATGGTAGGTCGGAAATTAAACGATACGGTTGCATGTTCACTTGCCTGAGTATTAGAGCTGTTCACGTTGAAAAATTAGATTCATTGGACGCTAAGTCCTTTCTGAACAGTTTTAGACGATTTGTGGCTCGCAGAGGTCATCCTGAGGTCGTGTTTTTCTGACAATGGCACCAATCTTGTCGCGGGAGAATCAGAATTAAGAAACAGTCTTAAGGGTCTCTCTCGTAAATTCATTGATGCCTATGCTGTAAAGGAAAACATAGTCTGGCACTTTAATCCCCCGACTGCATCCCATATGGGGGGAGTTTGGGAACGGATGATCGGGGTTTTCAAGAGAGTAATGACCGCCGTGCTCCCCAGGTCTGTCAGACTAACTGATGAAATATTACAGACCCTGTTCTGTGAAGCCGAATGTAACGTTAACGGGCGTCCACTGACCAAATTTGGTGACGACCCACGTGATCCCACACCACTAACGCTAAATCATTTGCTGCTTCTAAAGGGCCTGTCACATTATATGCGCTCTCATAGGAGACTTTACGGCGACCAATTTTTTTCATAAATTGAACAATCGCAGCGAGGACGCAAGAAAATGACAACTTTCTGTCTCAAAGAAGCTCAAGCTACGCTCATACTCAACCTCGTCCCCAGGGTGTCGAGCAGTACGCGCCCACCACTACCTGCTCTCTCACCCTGGTATTGGATCATTTGCATGTGCAAGATTTTTGAACCCGTATGCAAATTAGGAGTAGTCTGGTGCCTGCCTGTGCGTTACATTTGCGTTTGTTTTTGTATGCGGTTCCGGGGTAAAAACAGAATCAATTCGTCGCAGCGCTAGCATGGCGTGTTTATTTATTTATTTATTTATTTATTTTGGCAAAAACAAACAAACATACAATGGTATAAAAACGAACGTTTTTCATGTAAATACAAAGCCAAGGATAACCCGAAAAGCTGTTTATAAGAGTTAACACGACTTAATTCCATCGGGGTCCTTAAAAACACACATACAAGTACAAGTACAAATAACAAAGTTCAAAAAACAATTTGCACTGGATCTAGCAACAGAAAAATAATTTAAAGTAAAAATCACAGAAATCACAAAAATCTCAGCTGCTTAAAAAACAAAATTAATAAGAAGAGAGATGTTTTTTTCACTGAGATACGAAAACATGATTTATTTTAATTAAACTGTTACGATCTTAACGAGACAACATGCAGTATCATGCAGTATTAATATTTTCGAGCAGGCGTGGACGAATGATCGCGAAAACACGTACTGCACGTTGTGAATAACAACACCAAGTACACGGTATAAATCAATTTCTAGCCAATTGTGGTATCGAATCAGGATGCAGGAAGGAAGTTTCCTATCTAGGGTTTACTATTGGAAACAACGTTGGAAATAAAGTAAGCACTGGGGACGAGGTTGCGCTCATACTGTGCTCTTTCCGCGCTTACGATGCGTTCAACTCGCTCTCTTTGCGCCCCTGTCAAGCCCAATTACTCGATCTAGTCGCTGCCGCTCCGCTGTCACCGCGCCCACACTACGCTCAGCTCGCTGTTGATACGTCCTAATAGCTCGCGTCGCGCTCTCTATTCGACCAGTATACGCTCATGTGACGTCACTTGCGCTGTATAAATACCACGACAAAACGGTCAATACACAGTCCAGTTTCAAAAAATATTATACGAGTTCATCGCAGTTAAGTTACTTTCTCATAAAACTACATCGACTGCCTTGCGCCTATAAGCTGCCTCAATGCCACTTCAATGTCGCACGATTCACGCTCGCACAGCGCCCGAGTTGCGTCATTACGGCGCCCTGGCCAGAGTGCAGAGGTGTTGCGATTGTTTTGAGCATGTTCAAAGACCTTTGCGCTCATCGGAGACCATTAAGACTCTCTGGCGCCCATCTGGCGACCTATGTAGTTGTCGTTGCGATCTAGTAGTTGTCGTTGCGCCCCAGCTATTTTTCAAGGACGCAGTGAGAGCGCATGTAAGATCGCAGACAGTGTGACAGGGCCTTTAGAGAAGGTAGTAGCATACCACCAGGTAAATTTGATACTTTCCGCAGGCGCTGGATGCAACATCTCGCGGATCAATTTTGGCGCAAATGGCTAAAGCTGTACCTGCCTGAATTACAGAAGCGATCTAAATGGTTGAATGTAACGAATGATTTGGCAGTTGGTGATCTGGTATTGCTTCTGGATGAGATGACCCCTAGAAACCTGTGGCCTTTGGCGCTGGTCATTGAAGTCATGCAAGGCAGGGATGGATTAATCAGATCAGTCAGAGTCAAGACCAGAACTACAATACTCGTGCGGCCCATTAGTAAGATAGTTCTGCTAGAATCTGCTAATCCACCATGTGTGGATGAGAAATCATTGATTTTTTTGTAATGCATCCACGATCCATCCCAACCTAGATATTCGTATAGTATTAGGGTCAGTTTACACGTAATAATTATTTGTAATTTATGTTATTGCTGATGTAACTCACAGCATCAAGATTTCTACCAATGTATCGTTTGGTGTGTTTATTACTGAAGGCCTTCAAGCGTATTAGTAATATATGTCTTGAATGTCATTTATTCAATGGGGGGGAGTGTTATCGTCACCGCTATGTATTATGTTATTCCGTCATTTAATTTTTTCCTTAGAGTAACTGTTTCCCTTATTTAGAGCCCTTATTTGCATAAGTCCCTAATAACATCAGTCCGTCTCCCCTTCGACCAAACCCGCTCAGGCATTTTCGGTATGCGATTATGTTACGTCATTATTTTTGTCTCCCCGCTTGCCACTCCGGCATGAGGGAGATTCGAATCAGTTGCGTCCACGCTGTCGACCAGCTCACATTATTCAATTTCCGTAGTCAATTTTTGTAGCCAACTGTAAGTATTTTTTACTTTAATTTACATCATGTTTATTCTCAAACATTTAATTCACTATAAGCGTTTACATTCGTTCCATATTATTCATTAGCTCATAAGTAATATTAAGGATAATTTAGTTTACCCGGATGTTATGAACATTCCTTAGAGCCAACGCCCTTGGCACTATTCTACAGGCTTTTATCCCGGTATATGGAATACGGGCAGTGTACTTATGCTCCAGGCTACGTGTATATTTATAGTAATATTTCATAAGTAATTTATACCGTCATATTGTATGTGTGTTTATTCGATATTTGTATTATTTGTACAGCACCCCAGAATGCCGCCGTAAACCTCTGTACGCCACAGCTTAAACCCGTTTACCTCACTGTGTGTGCTGATGATTCCTTACCCCGGGAACGATTGTAAGTTTATATAATATCTATGGGTCTACACATTAAGATAATTTGCTAAATTAATTTTATTCAAGAATTGTAACTCATCCATAACTGATACTGCCGATAAGGTGCTGCCCCTTCGTAACTTGTCCGATGATCCTTTGAGTTCGTTCATGTTATTGCTTAATTGATTATTTGCGCTTAAACGATTGTATTATTTAATATGAATTTTGTATTTTCTTTAGTTTTTTCACCTGCACCAGCGGTGTGCGAATAAATAGGGGTAAAGGCATCAAACAGACTTCCAGTCTCGTTTTTCCAGCGGTGCATACAGTGAAAGTACTGTTTCACTTGTGCTTTTCAATTACCAGTTATTTAAAATAAAATGTAACTATATATAAATGATCATAATATTTATATCGTTCTTCCCATAAAGTAGGTTGAAATTTATCTTAAAATTGTGAAATATAACATACCAACATAAACTTAAAACAAAGCTGACCACAACACGGAATTGGTTAGTCGAAATATTCATGTTAAAAAGGGCTTTACCAAAAGACTGGTTATCAATTATAGTAGACAGTAAAGAAAAGATCGGTGTCGGTGCTATTAAACTTCATGATAATCCTAGTCTAGGTAATCTAGAAAACATTTAAACTAGAAACATTTTTAATATATTGATAGACGAAAGAAGTAAAACACCTCAGATTGAATCGTGGTGGGAAAACGTACTTGGTGAAACGATTAATTGGACTTCCACATGGAAAAAAAAACAGTCGACATTAAAGAAATTAAGTTGAGAAACTTCAGTTACAGACTCATGCATCGTCTAATAGCAACGAAAGATATATTGTATAAATGGAAAATTGAGAATAGTCCGTTGTGCTCAATGTGTGACACGATTGACGACTATAAACACGCATTCTTAACCTGTTTACAAACAATTGAATAAAGTTTGAAGGGAAAAAACAACAACATAACAACATGCACTTTATTCGCGGTCATGTGATTGTTTTTAAAATTAAGACTATCGTCCACAATCATCAGATTGCAATGAAAGGGTACATGATCCATTCTATAACCTTTTTTTCATGTCACTCGTCAGCATTCTTGTAGTTTAATTAGGGGTACTCAAGCCTTCTGCTTGGACTTGCATCTCGCTTGGACCCATTCCATCAACAGCGCCATCAACGATAGAGCTGAAATGCATCCCATGATGGAAAAGGCCCAATCAAAACTGCCAGTCTGGTCGTACATCCAACCTGCAAAAAATAATTAAAGTAATAACCAGTAAACGTTTTGTTTGCTTCGTCAATGTCAACAGTTAATTCCTGTACTGTTAATCAGATACGTGTTGACAGTTTTTATGCCGCTTTTCATCTCGCTTGTTAATGTTAATTTTACTCATTTTAAATTGCTGCCTACATGTACAGTCCATTAGTACGAAGGAAGACGCCATGGTGGCTTCTTCATCAGAAGCTGACAACGTACGGCCAAACAACAATGGGATGGGCACCAAGTTACATAACAACTGTCCTGATGAGTCGAATCCTATTGTCCGTTCCATTCAGTCTCTCCACGCGTCTATTGTTGAAATGCAAAACGAGATCGTCAGCCTGAAACGTCTTGTGACACCTTCATCGAAACCCTCAGAGCTGAAAACATTGAACTTAAACGTGTATCGACCTCCTGGAAAATGGAAGACCGCGCCCAACAACTACTAAATCGTCTAGGCTAGACCCGTGAAAACGAGGAACTGAGCGATCCTTCGTTCACCGGAATGCGTCCGGTGCTCTCACCGAAAATCGCTTTGAGATCAACCATTTTGACGAGTGCCACAATACACCAGATGAGCAGCCACTTGAGACAAATACAGCCACAAAACTAAATGTGGAAGACCAAATGCTTGAGTACAGGAACCGACAACACAAGCGTTTCAAATCTAAGGCTGACATCCTGATTATAGGCGATTCGATGACCAAGCAAATTCAACCAAAGAAACTCAGCCGAGCTAAACATGTCATCTGCTACACCATGAGTGGGGCTAGAATTGAGGACGTCGTCTCCAAGGCAAAACATCTCGCCACGAAACATAGCGTATCAGAAGTTATCCTACACGTTGGAACAAACAACACCAATGACAACCCTAGTGTCATCGTGCAAAAAATGTCTTCACTAGCCTTGGAACTGCGACCATGCTCTGTATCAGTATCATCCATCATACACAGTAGAAACCTGTCCCCAAATCAGATTCGGAGAGTGAATGAACTTAATGCTCTTCTGAAATCAAGTGCCAATGGCAACAACTGGGGATACATCGACAACGACAACCTCAAAACTGATCTCCTTTCTCAGGATGGAGTTCATCTGAACCCGAAAGGCGTAGGTGTCTTCGCACGAAACCTCATTGAGCATATTGGTGGAACAGTTCATCCAAAACAGCCATCTTTGGAACGCGACAGTAGCAAGCAGCGATCTACATCCCAGCAGAAGTATACTTTGGGAAGGCCATATGCAGAGGTACTCAAACAACCCCAAACTGGCCAGTCCAATCAGACGGGTTTTTAGATGTCAAACAAGCATCGCCCACACCAACCGATTGCACCGCGACACCGTCACCAAGCACCCAGAGCAATGTCTCATCAGAGCCAGCGCAAGATCCTGTCCAGCGACTTAGAGTGAAAACAGCACCTGTCAACAGTGAAACATCTGCTAAACCCAGACAGAAGACGAAAGTAACTGTAATGGATGGTATCATTCACTCAAGTTCAAAGGCATTTTCATTTGCTCATTTGAATGTCAGGAGTCTTGTAAGTAAACTTGACCATCTAAAAATCGTTATGTCAAAAAAACTTTTGTCAAATGTTGCTTCTGATTGGGGATGAAAGTAACACTGTTCATGCCGCGGCGCACTACAACTTTGAGGAATTCATTTTTCCTGATATTACTGAAAATTTGGTTAAGGAACAGATTAGTTCAATGCCTACAGGAAAAGCAACTGGTCCCGATGGCATGAGTGTTAAGCTTCTTAAGCTAGCATGCCCCCATATTATTGGGCGCTTACTTTTATTGTGAACTTGTCACTAAGAAGTGGCCTTTATCCCGATGTGTGGAAACATGACTCAGTTATTCCCATCCACAAGGGTGGAGATAAGTGTAGTGTCAATAACTGTCGGCCAATTTCTATCTTGTCACTTGTTTCCAAAATCCTCGAAAGGGCAGTTCACAGTGCATTATATTCATACCTCGATGATAACAATTTGATTCCAGCTTGCCAATCTGGTTTTAGACCACTGCACTCGACGGAGACGACTTTGCATGGATTAATTAATAATTGTCTTTATAGATTAAAGGTAAAATGGATAAAGGTAAAATGACAGGTACCGTTTTTATTGATCTTAGTAAGGCATTCGATTCTGTCAAACATTTTATCCTCTTAGAGAAGCTACAGAATATGCACTTGTCAGTGTATGTTTTAAACTGGTTTGGTTCATACCTAACCAACCGCAAACAATCTGCGCATTGAACGGAACAAATCTAGTCCACTCCCATTAAATACTGGTGTACCACAAGGGTCAATCCTTGGGCCACTGTTGTTCATTGTCTTTACTATGGACCTTCCTTCTATAATTCCCGAGGATTGTCAATAGTACAAGTACGCAGATGACTCTACAATAACATGTAGCTCCTCAACATTAGAAAGAAATCGAGAGCAGCCTCAACGAAGCAATGGCTAGATTAAACGATTGGGCAACGAGTAATAAGTTAACAATCAATGCCTCTAAAACCAAGGTAATGCTCATTGGATCAAAGCATAAGATTACGTCAAATGACTTGAATATTTATATTGTTGACTCCTTAGTTGAGAAGGTCAGCACTTTTAACTGTTTGGGCGTTATTATTGATGACTCACTTACTTGGTCTGCTCATATTGAACATGTTCAAAAGTCCATCTCTTCCAAACTAGGCATGTTGTACAGAATTCGTCACTGTATTCCAAGAACTAGTCTTTGCACTCTTGTTCGGTGCCTAGTCATGCCTACACTAGATTATTGCTGTACGGTATGGGGAGGCCGATATGAATGTCACAATAATACGCTCAATAAATTGCTTAAAAGAGTAGCCAGATTAATTCTAGGCTGCCCATTCACAACTTCGTCTGCTGATATGTTTACTTCGCTAAAATGGCTTCCATATTCAAAGAGAGTAATCTATAAGAAAGGAGTTTTTGTCTTTAAATGTTTAAACTCTATGGCTCCTGAATACATGACTGATTTCTTCTCATGTTTTGCACAATACCAAGTAACTAGACAGAATACAAATAACAGCTTGAAGATTCCCACCTCTAAAACAGAATATTATTCTCAAGGATTTGCAGTCACTGGAACCAAAATTTGGAATAGTTTTCCTGCTCAGCTTAGAGTTACACGTTCGCTGCCCGTTTTTAAGACAGAACTTTTTAATTACTTATATTAACATTTTTAATACTTCTATCATTTTAGGGGTTTCTTTTCTTTTCTTTTCTTTTCTGACATCTACCAGTTTTTATGTTCGTATTTTGTTAATAAGTATTTGTATTTGTTTCTAAATAATGTTTGAGTGTGTTCTTTGTTTACTTGAATCTTCTTAAACGTCTTATTTTTTAAGGGATATATGTTTGTTTTATATTTTATACATTTATTTTTTAAAAAGAAATTTCCGTAATGAAGTCCCTCTGTCTGTTTGTATGTTTATACACTCCTTTTTTTGCGCTCTGTTTTAGTAACGTTATTTTACCGAGAGAGTGTTGATTTGTTTTTGTTTTTGTGTTTTTATTGCTGGTTTTTCTTTTATCTTCTCTTAGTTTTTGCTTTTTATTTGTGTTAAGTGCATATAATTTTAAGCCTTCGATTTTGTAATTATTATTAGTTTATTTTAATGCAGGGCCCTAATGAAAATCAGCTTTTTGCTGTTTGGGTTTACCCTGGATAAATAAAGGTATAAATAAAAAAAATACAGTGCATAATTACCTACCGGTTGTCATACTGTACATTTTTAGTAATTTTAGTAATTTTATGAAAAATACCAATAAACAATTATCAGGAAATATTTTTCAATCAGCAAATGATTGCTTTTCAGATTATGAAACAGGCACTTGTTTTCTGAGGGGCGGGGGAAGGGAAAGCAATAAACTTGGATATGGAAACTTTTTAACATGGTCACAATAAAACGCAGCAACCCTTAAACGTATGTCAGTGAGAACCCTTAAAAGAGGTGACCGTCAAAATGTGACTGGCATCATTTGTATCGCTAGTTATGTAAGGGTGTAGTAATTGTTTACACGGCATGTATTGGTCGACGAACCTAAGACATCAGAATTGCATTAAGACTATTGACACTCTCCGTCCATGCAATATACTGATCTCGCCAAAGCCATAAGATGCGACGTGATATGCCTTACCTGGAAAGAATCCAAGGCTGAAACTAAAAATGGCCGTCACCAGCTCCATCCAGGCGAAAGCACACGCCAAGAGATCGGTTCCAATCAGCTCCCTGGTGTACATATCATTCAGTGAAGCAATTGATCCGTGACCGCTACAATAGATAACTGCAGTGACCATCATCAACCAATAAGAGTTTATCCAGGGAGTTATCAGGAAAACCGAGGAACTCAGTGTGATCATCAGTGCGATCACCGGTCTCAATTTTAACAAACCTTTATCGACGATAACACCAAGCAAAATCTTGGAAACGACGTTACCGACCCCTCCAGCTGTGGTGAATGTCACAGCGTCGTGCGGAGAGAAGCCTTTGGCTTCGGCTTGGGAGACGTAATAGATCATCCATTGATCACCCACAAAGCGGCTGCATATGAAGGGGACTGCTGTGATCCAAAATGAGTACTTGAAACAAACCGAAAATCCGAAATGTTTTATCTGCGCACCGAGGGCGTCTTTGAAGGCGCCAAGTCGTGATGACTGCTTCAACTTGCCTTTCTTCTCGGCACTTGATGAGCCGACTTGTGGTTCCTCATTGGCGCCGGTGCTCACCGGCTGATAGCTGTCATTTGTTTCATCAGTCGACGCTGAACGCAAGAGGGCGCCACACACTCCGAGATGCATGGTCAACCCTCCAAGAATAAGCAAAGCCTCTCTCCAGCCGTACGTATCCAGCAACAGTTGGGTAAAAGGCCCAACGGTGATCGCGCCTACTGCACCTCCTGATGTCCCTATTCCTACCGCCATGCCATAGTTTGTCGTAAAACAGCGTCCGACTAGCGCCCTTGTCAGAATCTGGACGACACTTAAAGCAGGTCCTGTGGATAAGATGTAGATAATCGATGAGTGATCTATTCCACGTTGGCTGACAAAGTATTGAAGGTAGGGTCAGTGTGTTTTGGGTGTGACAATTATTAGTTCATTTATTTTGTTAGCGGAACGAAGGTATGAATGTCCTAATGAGATCGGAAAAGAGTTTTAAATTGAGCTTTTTAATCACTAAATCGATTGGACTCAAGTCGAACTTAATTCGATATCCACAACAAATACTGCAAGTACGACCAAGCGCTGAAACGCGCAATATAAAAAGTCATCAGTGCCTCTTAAATGCTAAAAACAATTCATTCGTAAAGGGCATCGAAACAAACCCCCAATTTATTTTTTAATCATGGGGATACTAAATTTAAACTGAAAACAAATGTTATAATGTAAATTAGGAATGAATGGCACGATCTCTTGAAATGAATAAACTATTTACCAGCTGCCAGTGCTAGTATTGATGTCAACATGACAATACTAGTGGCAAAAGAAGCGATGATCATAGACACACCAAGGATGAAACCGCTGACCGTCACCACCGTGCGAGTACCAAACATGACCTCGAGTGGCCTAGCAAAGAGACCTATTCAAGTACACAAAAATGGTTGGTAAAGAGTACATCTATATACATCAATGTCTTAAAGATGGAGTAGATCATCTAAAAAGTAACTGCATGACCAAATTATTGTTAACAAGCTTGCTAATGGCGCTAAACTCCTTGTGAAATAATTCTTTCTGTCATTTTTAAGAAAACAATAAAAGAAGGTCATATTCATAGATGAGTCTTGTGACACATTTTTGGAAATGTCCGTAAGGAGCTTTTTGTAATTAGTCGAATCAGGGAATGGGTGCGCGCAAGCGCTGAAACGACAAATGCGTTTGATGCGGTTGCTATTATTCGTGGGTTCAGTGCGTGACTTGGCGTAGGTACCATCGGCTGAACGAGACTGTGTTCTGGATGCTGATCAGGCAATTTTGAATTGAAATCCAGACCCTAGCATATTTATTTCTCCGGATATACAACATTCACCGAGCTAAAACTTCATCAGGTTAGTTGTTATCAGCACCTAGCTGTCTTTAGATTGTGAGTGTTTCTGGATTCAAAACAACCGCCATGCCACACTATCAGTTATTTCCGTCACACTTTTATTCAAATAACAACAGTCATGTGATCGTCCCCTTTTTGGGGGGCAGTTGATGTGCTCGTATAATCATGGTCAAGAAAATTCAGGCACACATAGGGCTGTCTACGATGTCTATTTCACACAAAAAATGTCTGCAACGGATAGTCTTTGTGCCATTGCAAATGAAATAAAACTATATTTGCCTTACCAGTAACACATATGACTGCAGTGATAATCGATAGCATCCAGCCGGCCAGCCAAGTGTGGGTTGCAAATTGCTCTTGTAGTGTTAGTAACATCACTCCCAGTCCCTTGATGAACCACACCCACAACACATAGCTGACAAACAGACAGAGAACTGCGTACCAACCCTGATGGGAACGACCAGCTTGAAACCTGGCCATGATGAAACCCTGTCTGGTATGTCAGTACATGTACTATAATTGTGAACGAATACCTGTAGGTACATGTACTGCCGCCTTATTCGCTCTATATGGTATAAGATAATTGGGCTGCAAAATAGTAATGTAAATTCCTTCTGTGTGGACAGTGATCATTACATAGGCCTAAGTATAACAGTTCAATTACACCGTAAACCAGATGTTGGCATGTCTTCAATACATATATTCTGTTCCAGACATATTGTGAAAACAAAATGAACAAAAGCGTTTTCAGACATTTCTTGTTCATAAGTGTATTGATACATGGGTATAATTTTTGAAGCGCTGCTCTGGTATTTCATAGCCTTGGTCAATGCTCTCGTCGTTATTCGACCCGTACGCGGTCAATCGTCGGCATATATCCTCACGCGCTATGCACATGCATGTAAAAAATACAGCGCGAACAGCGACCTCACGCGGCCACTATTTTTATATGCAAATCAGTTGGGGACGATCGAGAGCCTTGGTTCAATCGTCCATGTGAGGTTTTGGGGGTGGTGGTCATTATGTTAATAACCTTAGCTGACCTAACGGTCCTAGGTCAACTCGGTCCTAGGTCAACTCGGTCCTAGGTCAACTCGGTTCTAGGTCAACTCGGTCCTATGTCAACTCGGTACTATGTCAACTTGATTGGGAGAAATTGATCTAGCAAGAACCTTAGGTGCAATTCAAATTGTACCATGTAAGGGGCCATGCCTTGTTAGGGTATATCATTAATAAATCGTTAAAGTGGTTACGTCATACACCGCTGAGGTCTACGCCTTACCGAGGTCACGCGTTCCTCACAAACCTGGCCTAATTGATAAATTAAATACAAATAATGCAGTGACAAATACATTTATTTACATGTAATGCAAACTGCCAAACAATTATTTATACATAATTGTCCTAGAAGACATTTATGATATGTAAATTTCGCATTATAAATAAGTAATAAGCCTAAACCGAAAAACTGAATTATATGATAAATAATGAATTATATATAAAAATAATTTTGTTAAATAATTTATTTACACATGGCGCCTCATATTTGTCCGAATCAAGCATGCGACCAGAAATTTCTGGTTCATAGTGTATTGATTTAGGGTTTATCTTATTATTATACACTAAAACAGATTGGTTGAAATATGAACGTGAATGTAAATATCACACACGAACATCTTCAGATAGTGACCAACCCAAAGCTCGTTTGAATGTGAACATCACGCCCAAATATCTTCAGGCAGAGCTATCTTTGACCAACTCAATTAAATCTCGTTTGAATGTGAACATCACGCCTTAATATCTTCAGGCAGAGCTTTCTTTTACCAACCTAAATCTCGTTTGAATGTGAACATCACACTCGAATATCTTCAGGCAGAGCTTTCTTTGACCCACCCAAAATTCGTTTGAACACCCGAGCATCTTTAGATAGTGCTTTCTATGACCAACCCAAATCTCGTCTGATGTATCTGAACATCACACCCGAACATCTTCAGACGGCGCTTTCTATATATGACCAACCCAAATCTCATTTGTATGTAAACATCTACGACCAACCCAAATCTCGATCATTTCATGTAAACATCACAGCCGAATATATCTTGGCATAGCTTTCTATGACCAACCCAACGTCACACCCGATATATCTTCAGATAGATCTTTCTATGACCAACCCAAATCTCATTGGAATGTATAAACGTCACGCCCGAATATCTTTAGGCAGAGCATTCTATGACCAACCCAAAATATCACCAGACGGTGCTTTTTATGACTGTAAACCTGACTCGGATTTATTCTCGATTTTTGGCTCGGCACTGGAGAGCACTGATATATTCAACACTGCAATACACACTACACAACTACAGCAATGCACGTATAACAAATAATGTACATGTACATGTACATGTACATGTACAGTGAGAAAATGCATACACCGCGTGTGAGTGTAACAAAACTCTGTACGCGGGTCAGGGGTCATGACAGTGCACAATAGACCTTCTGCGCTTGGTTGGCAAACTGCATTTTTGCCAACCACGGCCTGCAAAACTATGGAAAGTCCAACGCTACAAAAATGAAGAAGAGTTATTACATATCACCAAAATATTATTTGATACTTGAAAATACAACATTTTCAACAAAGCTACAAAATAATTCCTACATATGCCTTTTTACTATGTGTTGATGGCGTTATGAAGACTTTTTTGGAAAAATATGTTGCCAACCACGGCTTCAATTTGCGCTTACGGTAGCCCATACAAAATGGTGCCAATGTTTACAAACAAAAGAAAGGCCTATACCAGTTAGTAGAGTAGCCAAACATGTCGATTGGCGGAATATTACACCCCTCCTCCCTATATTGAAACATGTCCAATTAAAGCTTTAACTTATGTGAGCAAGTTATGGATCAATTTCAAAATCTTTATAGAAATCACATTATCCAGGCTGAATCGAAAACTGTTATATGTTTTTAAAAACTTTTGCAACTTACAACAAATATCAAACATGGTGACTTAAATGTCAAGGACAGGGGTGGATCGACTACCCTGACTTGCAACAAACTGCACTGAGGATTATTCTGCCTCAGATGTGTACGCAGATTAAGTGTTTGTGAAGCCATAGCGGTCAGGTGCACTCCTGATACGATCTGGGCATTTCCTGTCAGCTGGTGGAACAGGTTGCGGTTCAGGTTCGGCCGGTGCTTGTGGTTCTGGCCGGTCGTTGGTCGCTGGAGGGATGACATTTTTCACGGGAGATTGTTCTGGAAGAGGGACGGCGATAGCAGACACAAAGTCAATGTCGTCGTCAAGATTGTGTGACTTGTGATGTGGTTCATGTGGTACGCTCTCTTGTTTGCGAAGATGATTTTGCGGATTTTGTAGGAGACTGGACCAGCATAGCCTGCGATGGTGCCTTGTAGCCATAAGTAGCCAGTCCGTAGTGAAGTTGCGAACTAGGACGTACTGTGTCACCAATCCCAAACACACGTGTCTTGGCGTGCTTGTTGTGATGGTGTTTCTGTTTTTCCTGTTGTTTGATGACACGCTGAGCTACATCAGCGCGAAGCTGATCAAGGTGGGAGCGTAAGCGTCGACCCATCAGCATTTCCGCAGGAGACAGACCTGTCGAAGTGTGCGGAGTAATTCTGTAGTGAAACAGGAATCTGGCAACCCTAGTTTCAACTGCCCCTGTGTCCATTCGCCTCATAGCGTGCTTGAAGGTACGGACTGCACGCTCAGCTAATCCGTTTGATGCTGGGTGATATGGCGACTGTGCGAATATGCAGGATTCCATTCTTGGTCATGAATTCGCGAAACTCTGCGCTAGTGAATGGTGTGCCATCGTCAGACACAACTTTGTCTGGCAAACCATGCATGGCAAAGGCTTGCCTAAGTTTCTCTATGGTCGCCTCTGTTGTGGCATTATTCAGTGGGAAGACTTCCAAACGTTGGCGTGCCGCTTTTGGTTACGATCAGGCTGCAAACTAATAAACCTATAACCCTTTAAGAAAACACATGGAAGCTGCAATTTGCTCAAGTAAAACAACAAATTTCGTCCAGAATTTGCCGGCTAATAACTGGTAATAATTTCCAAATAATAAAGCTTTACACGGGGCAATTCTGAAAAAAATCGCTTGCAATATAACTAAATGTATTCACGTTTGAATTTTAATTTTTTTTAATTGACGAACATTTATGTAAATAAAATTAGAAGCGTAATCACATATTAAAAGTGGAGGTAGTCCCCTCGAACAAAATAATGTAGTTTCATGGAATATAGTTTCGTGGTAGTATATATAAAAACATAAACGGCACATCTAACACATCGTTCCTCCACCATCAGTTGTATGGGGGAAATAAGGCTATTGTCAATTTTTTCTGAAATCCAATAGTGACTTGAGTGCAATGTTACTTGTTCCCTATAATCAACCACAGATCCTCTACACAAGATTACAACCAAAGATCCTATAGCGCCGCGTGATCTATGTTTACAATGAAGCCAACACATCACTTAATTTCCCCGTCAAACACGTATATTTACAACAAAAACATTACTCTACAGTGCTAGTTTTACAACAAAAGTTGTAAATTAACCAGATTTTGTCAAAAAAGAAAAACAAATTAGCATGAAAACTGTAATTTAAACATTAAAACTGCTGTAAAAATCAATTACAGCATGGATCTGTGAAAATTATACGTAAAATTACGTATAGTACTGTTTCACTTGTGCTTTTCAATTACCAGTTATTTAAAATAAAATGTAACTATATATATACATGATCATAATATGTATATCGTTCTTCCCATAAAGTAGGTTGAAAATTTATTTTAAAATTGTGAAATTTAACATAACAACATGCACTTTATTCGTGGTCATGTGATTGTTTTTGAAATTAAGGCTATCGTCCACAATCATCAGATTGCAATGAAAGGGTACATGATCCATTCTATAACCTTTTTTTTCATGTCACGCGTCAGCATTCTTGTAGTTTAATTAGGGGTACTTCAAGCCGTCTGCTTGGACTTGCATCTCGCCTGGACCCATTCCATCAACAGCGCCATCAACGATAGAGCTAAAATGCATCCTATGATGAAAAAGGCCCAATCAAAACTGCCAGTCTGGTTGTACATCCAACCTGCCCCAAAAAATAACTGAAGTAGTTATAACCAATAAACATTTTGTTTGCTTCGTCAATGTCAACAATTAATTCCTGTATCGTTAATCAGATACGTGCTGACAGTTTTATGCCGCTTTTCAGCTCGCTTCTTAATGTTCATTTTAGTCATTTAAATTTGCTGCCTGCATGTTTAGTGCATAATCACCTACCGGTTGTCGTACTGTACATTTTTAATAATTTATTTTATGAAAAATACCAATAAACAATTATCAGGAAATGTTTTTCATTAGCAAATGATTGCTTTTCAGATTATGAAACAGGCATTTTTTTCCCGAGGGGCGGGGGAAGGGAATGCAATAAACTTGGACATGGAAACTGTTTAACATGGTCACAATAAACGCAGCAACCCTTAACGTATGTCTGCGAGAACCCTTAAAAGAGGTGACCGTCAAAATGTGACTGGCATCATTTGTATCGCTAGTTTTGTAAGGGTGTAGTAATTGTTTACACGGCATGTATTGGTCGACAAACCTAAGACATCAAAATTGCATTGAGACTATTGACACTATTCGTCCATGCAATATACTGATCTCGCCAAAGGCATAAGATGCGACGTGATATGCCTTACCTGGAAAGAATCCAAGGCTGAAACTAAAAATGGCCGTCACCAGCTCCATAACCAAGCGAAAGCACACGCCAAGAGTTCGGTTCCAAGCAGCCAAGGGCGGATCCAGGGGGGGGGGGCCAAAGGGGGCCATGGCCCCCCCTCCCAAAAAAAAAACGAGACCAATTTTTTAAATTTTTTTATGTGACATCGCAATAAAGGCAGGCAATGAGTACACCACCATCTTTTCCTCAAAAAAACCATTGGTTAAAGTGGTCAGAAATTTCCTCAGATCGCACCACAGAGCATCTAGAATCCAAAAAAATTTCGGGGCCCTTAAGCGGGCCCCGAACCCCACGCCGTAATTTGTTTGACCCACTTTTTTGGGGTCCAGATTTTTTTTGGCCCCCCAAAAAATTGTGTTCTGGATCCGCCCTTGCAAGCAGCTCCCTGGTGTACAGATCATTCAGTGGAGCACTTGCTCCACCACAGCTACAATAGATAACTGAAGTGGTCATCATCAACCAATAAGAGTTTACGCAGGGAGTTATCAGGATAGCTGAGGAACTCAGTGTGATCATCAGTGCGATCACCGGTCTCAATTTTAACAAACCTTTGTCGACGAAACAACCGAGGAAAATCCTGGGAACGACGTGGCCGACCCCTCCAGCTGTGGTGAATGTCACAGCGTCGTGCGGAGAGAAGCCTTTGGCTTCGGCTTGGGAGACGTAATAGATCATCCATTGATCACCCACAAAGCGGCTGCATATGAAGGGACCTGCTGTGATCCAAAATGAGAACTTGAAACAAACTGAGAATCCGAAATGTTTTATCTGCGCACCGAGGGCGTCTTTGACGGCGCCAAGTCGTGATGTCTGCTTTAAGTTGCCTTTCTCCTCGGCACTTGATGAACCGACTTGTGATTGCTCATTGGCGTCGGTGCTCACCGGCTGATAGCTGTAATTTGTTTCATCAGTCGACGCTGAACGCAAGAGGGCGCCACACACCTCAAGATGCATGGCAAACACTCCAAGAATAAGCAAAGCCCCTCTCCAGCCGTACGTATCCAGCAACAGTTGGGTAAAAGGCCCAGCGGTTATCACGCCTACTGCACCTCCTGATGTCCCTATTCCTACCACACTGCCATAGTTTGTCGTAAAACAGCGCCCGAGTAGTGCCCTTGTCAGAATATTGACGACACTTAAAGCAGGTCCTGGGGATAAGAAGTAAGATATCGATGAGTGATCTACTCCACGTTGGCTGACAAAGTATTAAAGGGAGGGTCAGTGTGTTTTGGGTGTGACACCCCAAAATAAATTTTGCAGTTCAATTATTTTGTTAGCACAACGAAGGTATGAATGTTCTAATGAGCTGGGAAAAGAGTTTTAAATTCAGCTTTTTAATTACTAAATAGATTTGACTCAATTCGAACTTAAGTCGACCCAGTGCTGAAACACGCAGAATATAAAAAGTCATCATTGCCTCTTAAATGCTAAAAACAATTCATTCGTGAAGGGCAATTGAAAAAAAAATCAATTTATTTATTTATTCATGGGATACTTAATTTAATTGAATAAAACACTTACCAGCTGCCAGTGCTAGTACTGATGTCAACATGACAATACTAGTGGAAAAGGAAGCGATGATCATAGACACACCAAAGATGAAACCGCCGACCGTCACGACCGTGCGAGTACCAAACATGACTTCGAGTGGCCTAGCAAAGATACCTATATAATCAAGTACACGAAAATGGTTGGTAAAGTGTACATCTATATATATGAATGTCTTAAAGATGGAGTAGATCACCCAAAAAGTAACTGCAATGACCACATTGTTATTAACAAGCTTGCTAATGGCACTAAAGTCCTTGGGAAATAATTCCTTCTGTCATTTTGAAGAAAACAATAAAAGAAGGTCATTTCCGAAGATGAGTCTAGTGACACATTTTTTTGGAAATTTCCGTTAGTAGCTGGATTGTAATTGGTCGAATCCGTGAATGGGTGCGCGCAAGCGTCGAAACGACAAACGCACGCATGATGCGGTTGCTATTATTCGTCGATTCAGTGCGTGACATCACGTAGGTGCCATCGGCTGAACGAGAACGTTTTCCTGATGCTGATTTAATCGGGCACAATTCAAAATATGACTCGGAAATTTTGAATTAAAATCCAGGCCCTAGCATATTTATTTCTCTGGATATACAACATTCACAGAGCTAAAACTTCATCAGGTTAGTTGCTAAGCACCTAGCTGTCTTTAGATTTTGAGTATTTCTGGATTCAAAACAACCGCCATGCCACACCAACAGTTATTTCCGTCACACTTTTATTTGAATTACAACAGTCATGTGATCGTTTCCTTTTTGGGGGCAGTTGATGTGCCCACAATGTGCCTTAAAATCATGCCGTGGTCAAGATAATTCAGGCACACATACTGAGGGCTGTTTTTTACGATGTCTATTTCACACAAAAAAATGTCTGGAACGGATAGTCTTTGTGTCATTGCACATGAAATAAAACTACATTTGCCATTCAAGTTCACCACTGCATGGGGCCATACACGAAACTTCATTGTCTTGCTCTAACACTATCATTAAGCATTACATGAAAGTGACTCAGATGCGATAATTACAAACTTTACCGGTAACACATATGACTGCAGTGATAATCGATAGCATCCAGCCGGCCAGCCAAGTTTGGGCCGCAAATTGCTCTTGTAGTGTTGGTAACATCACTCCAAGTGCCTTGAGGAGCCACACCCACAACAAATAGCTGACAAGCAGACAGAGAACTGCGCACCAACCCTGGTGGGAACGACCAGCTTGAATCCTGCCCATGATGAAGCCCTGTCTGGGTGGTATTTCGTGAACTATGAACGATAGCCTTGGTATAGGTACTAGTCTACAAGGGCGGATCCAGGGGGGGGGGCCAAAGGGGGCCATGGCCCCCCCCCCAAAACGAAACCAATTTTTTTTTTTTTTATGTGACATCGCAATTAAGGCAGGCAATGAGTACACTACCATCTTTTCCTCAAAAAAACATTGGTTAAAGTGGTCAGAAATTGCCTTAG